ATTTGGCTAGCCCGCAATGCTACACTGAGAGAACTGGGCTGGTAGGAGTAGTATAAGTGTTATTAACTGTGAATATTTTTGGGTTAGTTGATGCTTCTTGTAAGTGGTATCTTAACTCAAGTGAAGCAGTAGGCTAGCTTGACTATTTCTGTGCTGCACGATACTGTGTCTTTGGTAATGTGCCACAACATCCCAGCACTTCAGTTAAGTCTTACATACATTGATTCAAAGCATCTAAGTATCTCCATTCCTGGTATACAGTTAGTAATTTCCTTGAAGGAAAGGCAAGCAGGCTGAATTGACAGGTTTTAAATTGAAATTGTGGTAACATCAGAAGTTAAAGTCCATTTCTCATCCAACTGGATAGAAATAATAGGCCTGAAGAGGTTATGTTTGTCTAAGTTACAAATACTTTTCAGATGGAAGGATCTTTTACTTGAGCCCTATCAGAGTTTTCTGTCTTGGGAGAACTACTGGAAGGACTTCAGTAGGACTGTTGTTTTTGATAGTAGTCGCTGTCTGCTGTGAAAGGCACTTAATATACTAAAAGAGAACACTAGTAGATAAGAATCTTCTAACTTTATGGCCTATGTTAATAATTTTTTTGCTATTGATCTTACCTTGAACACTTCTTTCTAACAGTGCTTAACAGCTACAAGGTAAAAATATTTGCCATGATATTTAGAGGTAAGTCTGTCTGATTTTTGCATCAGAGGAGATCCCACACTGGAAAAAATAGTTAAAATCATCTTTTGTCAAGTAGTCTTTCAGATGTGATGGGGAAAAATTGTGAGATACTTTGTTGTTAGCTAGCTAGGTTTGTGAGAAACTGCTCAGTTTATGTAGTTTTAATCAGATTGGGATGAAAGCAATTTATTTAATAACAACCCAGAATTAATGGGCAATTAGTGAATTATACATTCAGGATCAATATCAGCCATGGAACAGATAAATGACAATACAATGTGCTTGCAAAACATCAATAAACACCTACAACTTTCTAAAGAGCCTTCTAGAACTAATCACAGAAAGTTCAGACCTTGCAGGTGCACCTTCCCCCTTTTCCTCTCTTTAGTGTGTGAGGAGTCGTTAGCATTTTGAATTTTCAGAATTTACATTTTTAGGAATAATTTTTAGAAACCTAACTAGAGCATGCGGCTTTTTTGTATTGATTTGGATTTGGTCCACTCCTTGACATTGAAAGTTTTGGAAGTTAAAACTAATTTGTGTTTTTCATGTAGAAGCACAGCATTTTCTTAGAAGGCCCTGTAGAATTAGATTCTAACAATTTGGTGCTGCCCTGCATGAAGTACTTCAAGAAGTAGTATCTTGGCCAGTTTTTTTGAGGAGGCACTTATTTGGTTGTCATTAGTTTGAGGACTTCAAAACAGCAGTAAGTAAATTTGTGAGCACTGGAAACTAATTTTTTGTATGTATATTGTAGAATATTGTACTTGAAGACCATTTGAACAATGAAATATCATGAAAAAATGACTGACTAACATCTAGTGAAAGCATTAGTTTGCGGTATACTGCTTTTCACAGCTGAGATGTGAAATAATTGTTCATTTGTGAAAGCACTGTGCTTCCTGAAACATTGTGTTCATGTTGAGTAGCTAAGAATTGAGCAGAAAACGCCATTTTCTTAGTGACTCTTTGCTTATTTTTGTACTCTTTCAGTATTGTACTGTATTACATCAAGAAAGTCTATTCCTTTCATGAAACACCTTTCTGATAATAGAATGTATTTGGCATAGCACCTAACTCTACTTAGGGTAAACTGTCCTTTGTAATCTAAGCTCTTGGAATTCAGTCTCGACTTTTCAATAGACAGTGTCCCACAGATGCTGGGATGATCCTCTCAGTCTACTGTGTTCTGGTCGTAGGTTCTTTATAATATAGAACATCTCTGACTTTTTATGTGTTATGTGCCTTATTTTTTTTAAATAATAGCATTGCTCAGAAAACAGAAGTACAAACCAGTGTGAACTTGCTTGCATATTTTCCATAATTTTCTTATTTATATGTTGAATAGTAACAATGTGCAACAGACAAATATTTACATTGGATAAGTTGACTTTGGTTTTGGAGGAGTACCCTTCTTTGTTCTGATACCATAATAAAATAACCAAAATACACATCTTATTATTATTATCATCAGTGTTTTTATTATGAAGATGTATTTGCTCCTTTAGTACAACTAACATGCCTTGTCAGACAAGCTTTCTCATCTCAACTAGCGTGTTGGAGGCAGGGGAGTAGTATTACTTCAGTTTCTTTGTGTTGATTCTTCCAAAAGGCCATGCTTCCTAGATTAATTTCATCTTCTCCTCTATGGTGATTGTGAAAAAGCACTTTCCAGCCAGAAACTACTAACAACTACTGCAGGTCCAAAAAAAACCCCACCCCAAAAACTATTCAAACTAGTAGGTGAGAAACCAGAAATGCTATTGTGTCATTTGATTAGACAAAGTTATCTGCAAAAATACATACATACCATTCATAGACTTTCAAAAGCCTTCAGTAATATTTGATGACATTAAGCTTATTGCATTCATCACAAACTTTTTGTTTTGAAATTTCTTATTTTTGTGCAAATAATCTTCCTCGCTACATCTTTCACTGCTTCATCTGATCTACAACATTATCTCTGTAGAGGAGTATGATGTCTGTGATTGGTTGCAGAAACATCTAATAACTGGAATTCTATGCTGGTGTCTTAAAAAAACCTAGAAAAGCAGGAGTGAGTAATGATCAAAGAAACTATTTTCTACATAAAGCGGAACAGTAGCTTTAGCCAGAGGTTCCCAAATGGTGTGTATCAGGCATGGTTCTACAAAGATCTGCCCAAGAGCACACAAGTGAATATTTCAAGCGCTGACAGTAAAAGTAAGAAAATTACTTTCTATTGTGCAGAGATCAGTATAATGAAAGGTGATTAAATATTAAAAATAACTTATTAGTGTTTCATTATTCTGAGCTACTTGTTTCTTATGAAGAATGTTGAAATTCTAAGATAAAGTGGAGCAAACTGTAGAAGTGGGGAATTTAAGTTCCTTTCAGACATTGGGAATGGACTGGGTTTGCACGTAATTGTAGTATTTGGGTTTTTTTTTTCAGACATATCTTAAGTATGTAATGGGGGAAGTTTTATCTTGATTTCCCCAAATTTCTTCACATGAAGACGGGGCAATGTAACTTAAACAGATGTATGAAAAGAGGAAATATTGCCTGAAAATATGCTGAGTAAGCAGCCACTACAAGACACTGCTGCCTTCTAGTACACATATATTAAATGACTTTTAAGATGAGCAGGACTCCTAACTGTAACTGAAACTGTCCTTCAATAATTTCTTCCGTTTTCTTCTTCTCAAGTTCCATTCCAATGCTGAGACAGAATGAGGAGAAGGATTTATTGTCTAATACATTACCTGATTGTTTATTACAGCTATTTCATTCTTTTAAAGTCTAAAATGTACATTACAATTCTAGATGCATTGCAATTTTAACATGTAACTCATAGAGGGAGTGCTTGTAGAGAGTGAAGAGAAAAGTGAACAAAGTATTCTGTTATTCTTACAGATTTTTTTTTTTTTTAACACTGGCACAGCATATTAGAGGTTGAGACCCATGGAATCCTGACTTTCAAATAAACAAAATTACCTTGCAGGAATGTGATCTTAATGTTATTATTGAAAAAACAAATAGAAATCAAAAAAAGCACACACCCCCCCTGCCAACATTATAAAAATTTCATAAAGTCTCTAACATAGACATCTAACAACTGTTTAATCTTATATCTAACAAATGAGCAATGGCTGATTAATCCAACTGAATTATTTTGATTCATACCTTGACTTGCAGACCAGTTGAGATTCAAAGTTTTACTGAGGTGCTGGAGAATGGAAAAAAAAAAAAAATTATGATATTATCAGACATTAAAGGATGCTAATTTTAAATTGCTACTTCATGCTGAAGGTAGAATATGGAAGCTTTATAGTAGTTGCTTTTACCTGATGATTCCAAGGAGATTTAGTGTTCCTAAAGCAAGCTTCAGAAGATGTATTATTAAGCTTTGAGCCATCTCTACACTGTACAGTATAGCACTGAGCAGAAATACTTGAGCTAGCCATTGAACTGAAAGTAGCCGAAGTGTCTTAATAAGCTGCTGCATAGATTAGCTAGACATTTCAGAGTTCTTAGTCTGAGTTCGTCATCATACTAATTGCTTAAATCGCTTGCTGCCAAGATCCCAGTGAGGATATCAATGCCCAGCACTGCGAGGTGTACTGTGTACACATTCCTGACTTAGCACTGAGTAGAATACCGAATTCTCTGCTGGGTAGAAATACCTTCAGAGTTGCTGTGCTGGAGATGGATCTCCATCAATGGCTGTTATGCAGGTCACTTTCACAGCTCTTTCCCATTTTCATAGGCATGTAACGTGGTGCTATATAGGTTCTTACTGACAAATAGATACACTAGTAGCAGCTTTACCAAAAATATTTAGTCAATATATCTTACGGTGTTGTAAACGTGAGACTTTTTTCCTGGCCCTTCTGACAAACAAAATAGAATATTAGTGTTTGAAAAATGTTTGTGATGTAGTATGCACTACCTTTTACATATGTCTAACGGCTAATGACTTAATTTAAAACTTTTGATTACGGAGTATGGCGCAAAGGATAATAAATTTATCCACAATGCAGTGTTTGTAGCTAGACCTCCACTCTGGTGCTAAGTATCTTCTCTAGAAATATTGTTATAAGCATAATTGTCGTCCACCTTCAGACCTGTATTACCTAGCATGTACCTTAATTTTATCCTAACAGTTTAGAATAAAAAAAGCAATCTTGCTGTTGCATGTGATTAACAAATTCTTTATATACCACCAAAGAAGTCAGGGTTAGATAAAGGGGAACTATGATTATTTTTTTAAGCTATCTGTTACTCTTTCTTCATTGCAGTATCAGTGTTATCCATAAGATTCATCTGATTACCTCTGACATCCAGTCTGCACTCTATTTCAGCTTCACCACACTCATTAACAGCTTTACAGGTATAACAGCCACCATCAAACGGAGTGGGTTTCCGGATCTCCAGGGTCAACACACCCTGTTTACTGAACATGCGGTATTTGGCATCCCCAGAGAGATCCATTTTATTTTTGTACCAGAATATCTTTGGCTGAAGAACAGAAAAGAAGAATTTTAAAATAGAAGGTAGAAAATGGAAGACCTATGGCTCATCTTACAGCTTTAATTTAGCCCTTAAAGGTTTATGCATTATGAGGGCTATATATTACACAGCGGTGTCAGTTTTTCAAGGAACCTCTCTTCATTCAGTACAAACTCATGAAACTAATTCAAATGTTCAGTATTTTCTTTAACTTTCAAACAGCATGTAGAGAATGTAGGTCTGTACTCTATTTTATTGCAATTTTTAAAAAACCCCTACAAAGCAGCCGCAAATTCGTTCCTTCAGGAGTTATTTAATTGTTCTTATTGAAATATATTTGAATGCTTCAAGTATCTTACAGAAGGGGAATTAAACCTCACAGATTATTAGAGCAGAAGTGACATAAAGGCCCATGTATGTTGGGTGGCCAACTTGGGATGCCAAGGTTTGGGCTGGGAAAGGATTTTCCAAACCATTTAGCATATCTTGAGCAACTTCAGGAATTTAAAAATAAAGTTCCTGTTGGCTTCAGCTGAGCAATAAAGTGATTGGCTCTGTACCATTTCAAGCCATTGTATTTTGTTTCTGGCAGCTGCCTTTAATTTTTATAAATAAAATTTTGAAAATGAAAACTCTGATATCAAGCAAAACTGCTTTTGTTTATTTCAAGCTTGTTAGTATATATAGTGAAGAAACAGGCTTTAAAGAGTAGACCAAGCTCTGCATTCATCTGTTTTGCTTTCAGAATCAACATCTTCTGTTTCTTCACCCATTAAAAAAACCCCAAACCTACTGCGCTGTTTTACAGAGTGCATTGAAATCTACTGCATCACTTGTGGCTTTGACCTGTGATATAGCATTCAGTGCATCCCAGTTGCCAGGCTTAATTTTCTTTAAAGATATCAGCTGCATTTTTTCCTGCCTCAAATTTTTTTGCTTCTTTTTCTATAGCCTCTTCATCCTTCTGGGTATAAGTCTTTTATTTCAATACTACTACCAGGGCCTGAATATTGGATTTGCCTGAAGTGGTAACTTTTTCATGCCATACAGATCATATCTGAGGTATGCTTGATAACCTATAGTTATTCAGAATTGGGAAGATCTATCAACATAAGCTACTTTCTATGACAAAGACCTGTTGCAGAGTTCTGCAGTAGGTACAGAAACGTTTTGTTAAGGTTAATTTGGGCAATGCAAGTACAGAAATGTGTCTGGAAAAGCTGCTTTAAGAGTATTAGGTGTATTGAAGGATGAGGACTACTTGTATCCTTCAGGCTAATGTGGAAGGAAGAGCTAGCGTGCTCACATTCAAAAGCCTGCGACTACTGTATTTAACAGCTGTAAAATATGCAATTTGTCTTAAAATCTTCTTAAAACCATGGGAATGAATTAAGTAGATACAGATGCACAAAAAGGTCAGTTAACCAAGAGGGGATATCATTACACTGTCATTTCATGATGAATCTCAGTTGAGGCAGCTACTGGAGGATGGATTTTGCTTACAGTCACTGGTATTTCTTCTATAATGTTCTTGTTCTTTTGCAGCTATTTGTGTGGGTATGCTTCCTTTTTATATTTGAGTTTTGTCTGGAGCTCTTTTTTCATCCAATGAACTGCAGCAAATGATTGCATTAAGGCTACGTCTTTTTTTTGAGTTAATTTGAACTTTGAGCAATTGTCTTACATTTTTTGCTATGTAACTATCAGATCCTTGTGCAGGCATGAGGAAGGGAGAGGAGTTGGAAATAAGCAGCCAGAAGGGGAAGGGAAAAGGGTACTGCATTTTTTGGTGATTGTACTAATTTAAATTTATGACAAGATTATGTCATAATATGGTAAATTCCTACGCTGCAGAAAAAGAAGCCTATTTCCCTTTTTTGAGAAACCTAAATTTAGCTCCTAGCAGATACGGTTTTTACTGCTTGTTCCTGACTAACAAGAAAATACGTCTTTTTGTACTCTTTGAAGAGACTTCAACAAATATATTTAGACTGAGAAAATATTCCTGTGAGATTTAAAAAAATAAAAAGCCCAAAACTTCACACATGACAGCAGGTCTTACTCTAGTTAATTTTGCAAAATAACTGAAACTCTCAAAAAGTTATGTGGACATACTGATGTAACAGAAAGACTAGTGTTCCTATGTATCACTTAGGTTAATGGAACAGTACATTGCATTAGCTGTTGTTTTCTTGAAAGACTGAAGAGAACAAAATATACATTGTGAGAAGATATTTGTTGTTGTTTACTTTCTTCAGTGGGTAGATTTTATGTACACATGGTACACTTTCAGTGGTGTGGTGTTACCATAAGTAATGACTCTCCTTTCCTCTGTCTCCTGTACTGTATTGCCCCACTGGTTCTGTGCACAACCACACAAATGCTTGCACCATGCATTCTGGTTAAGCGTCAGTTATGAGTGAGGTGGGAGATAATTGGATGACCTTTACTTTTTCTTAGTATAGTCACGCTACACTCCAGTCACACTGAACTGGCATGAATTCTAAGGCAGCATCTTGGCTTGTTGCAACAGTATCAATGACAACTGATGTAATCTGTACCTTGGGGATTCCTCTTACAGCACAGCTGAGTGTGGTGTTGTATCCTGCAATCACAGAACGGTTTACTAAAGGGTGAGTGAATTTAGGAGGTTCGGAGAAGTCATGTTCTTTGTAACTAGGTGGCTTATAAGGGGTGCCTGCAATTCAAAGAAAGAAAAGAGTAAGAACTGTGTTTTCAATTGTGTTGACTTGTATACAATCTATTTGTCATTTAATTTGCCTGTATGATCTAGAGAAGCTTCAAAGCTATGGCATTTTGATATAACAAATCCTTAGATTCACTTCACTTAAAACCATATCTCATGTTTCATGCTTTAGTTAAAGTAAAAGGTCCTGGCAACCATGGGTTTTCAGCTTCTGTAAAAATATGAAAGCCATATGTCTGCAGGGGAAGTCTTCACCACAGACATCTTAAACTTTTAACCCCAGAATGTAAATATAGCCCCCCAGTTATATTATTTTCTTAAAATAATATAGTTTAGGAAGACGATGTGATTAAATATTTTTGAACACATGTTCATGTTAGTACAGGAGATCTGCCTAGATAAGGGCTCTTGATGCTAAAATACTTTAGTAATAAGTGCTGGCTACTAAGTAGTGAAAATATCTCTAGTGGTGCATCTAGTAATACTGTATTTTCCATTTACCAATGCATTACTTCTGGTAGTTAGTGGCTTTTGTGATGAATATGTTACCTGTTTTTTGGATATAGGCAGGGTTTTTGGTGGTTGCAGCAGTTTCACTCAATCCACACAAATTTTCACTGAAGATTCGAAAAAAATACTCATTTCCCATAATCAGGTCTGACACTATACAGTTTGTGCGACGATAGTGATCAAAAACAGTATACCATTCCTGTAACAAGACTATACTGTTTAGAAAAATGCTATGAGAGGTCAGACATGGTGCTAGTTTTGGTATGCAGAGATCCTTCTTGCTACAAGGAAAAGACAGGTAGACAGGTATTTAACACTAGCCTGCAAAATGAATATTACGTTGCTTTCTGTGAAGGTCAGCTGATCTATTTTCTTTTATTTTCTGGCTGGTGTGATAGATGTATGAATACTTGCATTTTGAGGAAAAAAAACCTCTTTAAATTTTAGCCTTACTCATATCTGGGGAATCTAATACAGGATGTGTCCTCAGGAAATGACTACTTGATGGGGACTTCCATGAGAAAGAGGTTTTCCAGTCTGATTGGCATACATACCTCTCGCAGTATATACCCTGGTATGCCCAGCATATGAGTTCAAGTCTAACTCTTCTTCCCTCCCCTTCAGTTTTTCCCTGCATTTATGAAAATTATAATTCCGAATAAAAAATATAATTCCACCTTCCAAGTAGAGCTATCTGTTCAGTCACCGCCAGACATGGGACAGCCTAGGTCTCTCTTTTTACATTTTCTACTGGGTATTTTATACAGTTCTACACTTAGCCTTTTGGTTCTTTTTAGATTCTATTCTTCAATGTTTAACTGCCTCTGATATACCACAGGACAGCTTGGACACACAACCGACAGTCACGAATTCAGCTGTTTCTCTCAGTCTTTGTGTTCCCAGAGCAAGGAGTAGTTTAAACTCCATACCAAGTCACTGACTCAGTGCTATTTCTTACCATTGTCTTTTTGTCAGCTTTCTGGACTGTGTAGCCCAAGATCTGTGCATTGCCGTCATTTTGTGGAGGTGTCCACTCCAAGGCTGCGTTAAATCCCCAAACATCTACAAGCTTTATAGTCTGAGGAGGACCGGGCTTGTCTGCAGAGGAGACATGAAAAAAACCCCACTTAGCTTTTGGTTCAAGATCTAAGAGCTTTGTAATTTCCTCCCATGCAGGGAAAAAATAGAACTTGATAGCAATCTATAATTGTTCCATAGCAATACACTTCATTTACGTGAAGTTGAAACTGTAAACAGGAAAGTTGGGAAATTTTCAAATACCATTTTAATACTCTTCTGAGAGGCTGGAAACCTACTGAGAAATAGACAACACAGTAGAATTAGTAACACAGGAACCAGACACACTCTTCCTTAAAATGGAATAAGAAGTTTGCGTTGTTTGGATGGGTGTGATCAATGCTTACTACAGTTTTGTAACTTTGTTACCTCACTGCAATTTCTCAGCCGTTTAGGTGCACTGAGAGTAATTCAAACAACAGAGGCAGCTGGGTATATATTCCTCTCGGCTAAGGAAGGCCAACCACTTGGGAATATACCTGACTCTCTTTCCTGTTACTTCTGTGCTTGTTAGCTTGCCCACTGGTGACATTTCTGTGTCAGCTAGAAAAAGAACAATCAAAGAGGTACAGAAGTCTATGCCCATTTTAAGATACCTAGAAATATACAGAAGAATATATATTATAAAATGATATTTTTTTTTTCCTTCTTTTAAGGATCATTCATATTCATATCAATGTTGTTTAGTTAAATGCTGTAACATTTAAATTAGATTTATTAAGTAATATTCCTATCTATTTTATCTTGAAGATACTAACTCCTGTTTTGGTATGTTAGATTGTTGTTCACAGTTACAGGGCCTGTTGGGGAGATGATCATTAGGCCTGGGTAGATGCTCTTGTGATTAAGTGAAGGATAGTTCTGGATCATTCTAGGTAGCTGGATTGAAATAGTCTCCTCTTTTTGTAGTTAAGCTGAAAAAATGAGGAAAATACTAAGAACCTGACGGATGTAGGTTTGAGATGAGCAAAGCACAAAGGAATGTAATTATAGATTGCTGGTAATTTAATTCCTTAAAGATATGCAAAGCAGTAATAAACCCGCCTTTGACTGTTATTAGGGGAACCGTGACTTTCTATGTCAAAGCATAATGTGCTAATTCTCTTTTCACTAGCATACTGTGGCATCAAAGACCGCTTTATAATTAGCTTTAACCCTTTTTGTCCTCCTTCAATTTGCTAAACACTGGAGCCAACTAGAACACTGTATGAAGTTCAGTAAGGAATATGGAATGTGTTGCTATCATTCTATTTATTGTCCTCTTCCTTCCTCTCTTACACTAACATTTTGGAGAAAAAGCTGCCATCTTCCATGTTTCTCAACAGCTACCAACCTCAGGTAAAACCTTCTTTATTTTTCTTCCCTGTTTCTGAAGTAGGGAATAGTAATGTGTTGTCAAATGAACAACATTGCTTATGAAGATGTGGAAATGTATTTGTTGTTATCTTGAATCACAACTTAAAAGAAAAAAATCTAAATATATTTCAGATGTGTGTCTTCATTATACAGAAATCAATTAATCTATTCTGATTGTAAGAGAATAATTTTAAATACTACGTAGGAATACCAGTGTGGGTATGAAAACTGCAACCATCTCAGTGGGCAAAGCTCTACCAGTCCTGAGTAAGTGTATTATAATCTAATAGTAGACGAATGTTGTGATGTTTAGCAATTTGCTAATTATTTTCAAGCCTATCTACTGTATAACCCTCCACAGTATTTGCCTAGTTTTACAAGTGTTTTTCCTGTGTACTTGCCTACAAATCTATCTACACAACTGTTGTTTTTTGTTTTAAAGGAGTGCTTACACAATGCTTTGTCAAAAACTGTGGAGATCTTGGTAACGACATTCAGTTTAAATACTATAGGAAGAGACTGATAAATGGAAGAAAAATACAGCCTTAGGTGCAATGAAAGGAAAAAGAAAACTTTTTGGAGAGGCCTCACTGGACAGATAGATTTTTAAAGCCTGTGCCTTATTGCACCTAGTTACCTAAAAGCAATTATCTGGGAATCTCCTTTCAAAACAAAAACCGATGGGATGGCAGGTCATTTGTTAATTCAGTAATCTATTGGAATTATAGAATCATAGAATCATTATGG